CAGTGTCTGCATCCTCCAGTGTCCACATCCAGCCTCCTCCACCATAACACCAACAAGAAGGCATGAATACAAGCAAAAAGCAAGTAAACTCAACGACGACGTGTATAATCAGTGAGATACTCAGCACTGGTTCCCACAGTAATCAAACCTCGGCTGCACATAATTTACTGATCTCCCTTGAATAAACTTTTTGAGAATACAGAATCAGAATAAATATGGATTAAYACATGATTGAACAATAAAGCAGCAGGTGTCATTTTATGACAACTTTGGCATTAATTTAGAGTTATTGATAATGGTGGTGATCTTCTGTTGGAATCAACCAATCTGATTGGCTAATTAGACAGATTAAAATGATCAAAGAAAATGGTTTCCCCCTTGAAATCCAATTTCCCTGTACTGGTAGGACAGATTAKTGTTTTAAATAGCTATTTTGTCTTACTTGTGAATGGTGTAAGCAGCTAATTAGCTAATCAGATTTGCAYRAGATTACGTGTGGTACTCTTAGTAAGTGTTTAAGTGTGTATGAAAATTGAATTATACGGTAAGATTAAAGATTATCGTGCAAGTTATCGAGAATTCCGAAGTTCCGATTAGATCCTTGTGTAGGCCTGGTACTGAATCTACACAGGGTTCTTACTATTTGGAACTCATGACATCTTTGTTCTTTGCAAGATAATCTATCTCTAGATATCTTGGACCTCTTACAATGCTCGGACCTCTTATGATGGATCCTATGATACATATATATGAATAGTACCTTACGATAGGTACGTAGGAGTGGTATGTCCCTTCATTCCTTTCATGGAAGCATCATACTACGTACGTATCCGTATCCATTGCATTATCCCCGACAGGAATACTGCCTTCAGTATTACTACTAAACTGTAGCAATCATATCTTCAATATTTTCAACAGGGGATTGTTCCTCTACTGTTGCTGGATTTTCTAGATCGGCATTGACAGTNTATTACTACTAAACTGTAGCAATCATATCTTCAATATTTTCAACAGGGGATTGTTCCTCTACTGTTGCTGGATTTTCTAGATCGGCATTGACAGTTCCCTTGTAAGGAACAAGCTTTCGAATGTTGACAGTCTCACGTACGTTGTCACTTCTTTGCAACACCACAGTTCCATTAGTGTTGATCTCCACTATAGGATAGGGACCATGTAATCTTTGGGACAGCTTGCTGTCTGGTTCATAGTACTTCATGTAGGCCTGCTGTCCAACTTGATYGTACGTATCCGTATCCATTGCAAGATTGCTTGGTTCCTACAKAATATCACCATTATCCCTAACTCTAAATTAATGSAAAAGTTGCTCTAAAATGCCTGGGCAAATAMCTGTGGTYTGTAGCACCAGGATACTGCATCATTTTTCAGTACATATTTTTGAAAATGTCTTYGCAGTCTTGAGCAATCCTGATTTTTATCCTTCTTACTAACCTTAACATATTGTTACCCCTACTGCTCATACCTCAGACCTSAGATGCTCTCCAACAAGGACAGAAAATTACGCACAGTACATACTACCACCTTAAGAGGAACTACAAACACTTATGTGAGGCACAAATCTGGAATTGATTATGAGTA